AAATATGAAGTCAAAGTAAGCTACCTTATGATCAAATATGCAGATTAAGCTAGCTAATGTGTGCTAAATTGATATGATTAAATATGAAACATACAGATTAAATTGATACATAAGATCTTGAAAGCGACCATTAACTCATAGGTATTATATTCAAACTGATTACAAAAGAAGAGTGGAAATGATACCAAATTATGATCTACTATCAGTAAGTTAAGGAATCACTTATCGACCACTCACCCCTAACAGATATCTTCCCGCTAATGATAAAACATTGGAGTGTATAAATTATTAGCTCTTGCAAAAACATATCAAGAGATCAGTAGTTTCATAGCGACTTTTGCAAGTGACACAATCCCGCTATCATCTATTGAGTCCGGTATCTGTGTAGGTCATCAGTTTACGGATTTCCTGAAATGCGCTGTTCCTAAGAGAGGTTTAAGAGCGCAGGGAGACGACTGGATGGATATAGACAAGTGCCAAGAATGATGAGAGAATGGAGCATTCGGTAGAACTGAGATAAGGACAGAAAAGTGTTGACGAATGAAAAGTGTTGCAAGAGATGAGTCGCTTTACGCGATGATTGACGAGCGGAAAATAGCGCAATAATTGAAGAGGCGTCGAAAGTGATAAGAATTACGAGATATAATGTTGCAGAGATTGAGAAAACGGTCAAATAATTAGGTTATAATTATGGTAGGAGAAACAGCATTTAAACGGAATAAAAAATGTTTCTTTCCTAAGATTTAAACTGGCTCTAAGAAAGTTGGGTAATGTTTAAGTTGCAGTGAATTACAAAAAGTGATTTAATGAGTTCTTCCGTTCGATTTTAATGGTTTTCCGGATATATGCCCGTCACCCGAGCTTTGTTAAAGGAGAACAGCTGCTATCCGAAAGTGAATTAAACCCAAGCTGGGAATATGAACACTCTTAGCCTTTCATTAATTAAGATTAATTTGCTCTCAATTAGCCTCATCTAAATAGTGAATAGATGATGAAATTAAATTTCAATATCTCTTGTTTAACTTTTGCTTAGGGTTGGAGATTTTTCTCTTGAAAAATTTCCGTTCTTTTACTATTAGTTACCTGAAATCATAGCATTAAAATATCGAAACCTTCTTATCTTCTATATGCGCAATAACTATTATTGTATTTGGAGTTGTGGATATCGTGTGCCGTGTTACTTTTAGAAGACTATCTATTAAGTTAATCCTACATAAACCTGACATATCTCTCAGATTTCAAATATTTAAATTAAGTTTTATTCCAAAATTTTGAAATTCAAAAATTCTTGAGCAATAAAATCGAAGATTGAGAATTGGGAAAATGTTGAATGGGATAGATTGGTGAAACCGCAGTGTGTATAGTGTGTAGTGTGTATATTTTTTATGTGTGCATACGTATATGTATGTGCGGTTTGCTGTGTAACGAACCGTAGGCAAGTGACGTATACGATTATATCACGTGCGATGATGAAATCCGAGGGAAGGGAGAGAATATTTTCATGTTTCAAATCTTTTCTCTGTGACACGGAAATTTTTTTGTCTGAAAAATTGTTCTTGTACCTGTTAAAATTCCGTTCTTTAATTGTTAAATCTCACATGCAGCGAGATTTATGTGCTATATGATTGTATCAAAGTGCCTGACAGGGCATGTACCTTACAGTTTCGACTTTTATTTCCGTTTTCAAACATATGTTTTCTTCGTATTTTTAAACTAAGATTTGAGCTGTCATTAAGGCCTTTTAATTTTTTTTGCATAATATGGATGTTAGAGGTAGTCATTTCAGAACCGAGTGAAGTCAACTGTTATAAGTAATGGTTGTGCAGATTTCATGGAACTCTTCACTCTCGAACAGATGGTGATAGCCATTTGGATAACAACTTGTAACCGCATGAGGTTTTCCCAATGCAAAATGTAACATGTCCTTTTGTTTTGTTTCAAGAAACAATTTTTTTTGATTAGAGGTAGATAGCAGTCATTTATTATTTATTATTATCAATGCGAAATTTGGCAGTTGTAATGTGTTTTTGGAATGTTTCATGCAGGTGGTATGTATATGATTCATCTTTTTTTTTTGTAAAATCTAAACTGTTTTTAATTCATCTTTTCGCGATAGTTTTTGCTGTCGTTTAACATCACTAAGGGTGAATAAATGTCAATTTTGGTAATGATAATAATGCAGAACACAAATATATCAATAAAAGAAGTAAAGTTATAGCACATACTTGTTTACTACTAATGTACAATCTTAAGAGATTTAAACCGAAAATGCGAGATCAGTCTTATCCGACGATTTAAAAAATGCATATAATCTATGGTTTCGCTTGGCGAAGACCAAGCATAATTAGTAATTGGTATTGCATTGATTTTGATTAAGATGATAGTTCGTTTGCTTTCAATTGATTTGATTAAAGTAATTCAAATACTGATACCCTAAACGGAATGGTAGCAGCTCACTCCGTGAGCACTTTGTTGTTTACTTGCCAGATACTAATGTTTATTTTTTCTCAGATTGAAAGTCGATTAACGAAGTTATGAAGCTTTAAAAACTTCGTGCATGGCTTTGAGAGATTCGTGGGATTTAGAATCTCTTGGTTTATTTAAGGAAGAAGGACTTCATTTTTTGTTACTTTATTCCTTATGCCATTATGATTCACGCGTCACAGAAATATTCGATGCCTTCCTAACACATTTAAATATAACAAATAGACATCATTTCGGTATTCTAATAGTGCACCAATCTGTGTCGCCAATGGTATAGGGCAAGAATCTCATCGAGCATAATGAAAAGATATCAAATAATCACTTCAACAATTCAAAATCTCTCGCAAAATCTGAATTCATACTATATTAAGAATTGAGCAAATAATAGTTACACAAATTCTTTAACAAATGAGAGAAATATTTAGCAGAATTGCGACTGGGAAGTAGCTGGATGCTATAAGAATGGTAGTATTTTGCAACATTTCTATAACCATTCGATTATCAATATTAAATGCTAAAGAAAGATTAAGCTTTGATCCAAAGTGAGGATACATATAGTGGCATGTGTTCCAAACTCTGATGATCTCGAAAACTCGCAAATTTCGACGAGTAAAAACGAGACTATTCACGTTTATGCAGTAGTATAGTACATAAGAGTCTTCAAAAAGCTATCATAATATCATGAGAATCATCAATGGGTAACACAAAACCTACATGCATCGACCTAATTTAATAACTTGGTTTTCTCTATTTGTATATTCTTTGACCACTTTTAAGTCCATTTTCAAAAATTGTTTGATCACTATTACTATGATGCATATAAATCTAACATTTGTAATTGTATCGCAGTTGTAATGCCCGATTTTTGGTATTTTAAATTAAGATTCCAGAGCTGCAATTTATATATATATATATATATATATATAGTAAAATAGTTTAATTTGCTAAAGAGTAGAATTTAGATTTTCAAAAATTTAATCTTGCCAACTTATTCCGAATCGTTTCAGTCGTTCAATTTTTGAAGACACACATATGATTATAATTTATTCATTAAGCAAGTAAAATTATGAATTTATTAAAATATCAATTGAGATCGTATACTGTTAAGTTATGCATTCTTCATCAAACAATTGAACATCACTGATGTTTATCAAATTTAAATAATCAAAAATAGAAGAAAAGTCGTCTATCAAGAGGAAATAAATGTAATCTCCCTAGTTAATAAAGGAGGTGTCAAATATTTCATTCGTATCAATCAGTTATTATATCATATTTTAATTCAAAATTCATTTCCAAGTTCGATTTTATTAGAAGTATCTAATATCTACTTGATCAATTTATATATATACCTATATATATATATAAACACTTCCATAAGAATACTGTATACAATCATCGGGCAATTAAATAACATGAGGTATAATTTGTGGTGTGTAAACTAAGGAACAGAACTATCGATTAAATACTTTAGAATTGACTAATTTTCATACATTTGAAAATACTTCTATCTAACAAAATATGCTCTACTAGGATACAATACTGACATTTTGAGAAGTTTATCTAATGCTATATTTTTGCTCCAACATTTAGCAAATAGATCATTAATTAATTGATCTTAGAAAAATCTTGTAGTAAGAATAGATAGATTATTTCATGAATTGATTGAATTTTTGTTTAAATAGCATAAGCTTTTTACTGATTCCATTTGATTAAAGAATTCTGAAAATTAAATTCAAAAAATTTCAGAATCCCATAAAATATAATTTCTTTTCATTGATCTAATAATATTCGGCTTCTACTAACCTACTGATTGAACCTAACTGATTAATGATATTCGACTTCTATTAATCTAAATGACTTCTATTAATCTAACTAAGTGTCCCAAACTGTTTAATGAAACAAATTGTTCATTCTTGGCACTGAAAGTGAGGAATTGAAGTAGCTTTCTCCACTAGTCATCTTGGAGCCATTAATGCTTAAGGCTTAAAATTAGTTCACATTATAAGTTGCAATACTGCTTACAATCAACGAAGTCATTCAATGTATTATGGTTAATGAAGTGATGAAATATTACTAAATAAAATAATTTCTAGGATAATAACTTGATACCTGTAAACAATACGATAAAATCATTAACCGAAATTTTTTGGAACAAAATGTGTCAGTAAGTAAATTAAACGGTAATTAATTCTTAATAATTAAATTCATGAAGCCCTACATTCAGTAGTTCTTTAATCATATAACCGCTATGACGATCTCACAATTAGTTTGTAGTACAAGATCAAATGCAGAATACAATCATCGAAACTCATTTTATCCTAATCCATCCGCTCATTATCGAAGGTCACGCATGCATTTCATAAATTCGAAGCATCCCACGTCATTTCCAAAGGAATATAAAATATTCTGAAAATTTGCTTTAACACAATATGAGGAATCTCTTTTACATTAACATTATTATAGCTCCAGTAATTATCAGTATTTTCTAAAATCCATATCACTAAGTGATTCTTAATTTATGTAATTAGCTGCACATCCAAATTATCCGTCAGTTGCACGTATCCATCCGTTTGCGTTTGTTTTCGAATACTTTCATAGCTATCTTCATCATCAAAATGTCCTTGCAAAAGTTTTGCTATTGTGGGCATTTTACAATTGCATGGTCCTAAAGAAGTATCGAATGGTAATGTAGGTGATAATTGATCGCTAATACATTTCACATTTTCCGGCAAATTGATCATTGTTGTAGGATGAATAGATTGCATTTTGGTATGTTCCATTTCTTCAAAAAATTCATCCAGATCTCCGCTAAGATCAGGTAACGGTCCTTTAATGTTTCGTTCCAAGCATAATTCCGGTAAAGCTTCTAACTCACTACTTTCATCATCATTACCTGAAAAATAATGAAGCCTATTACCATAATACAAAATCAAACAGGTATCGAACAGTTTTTCTGGATTGAACTTTCGGCTTTTCCAATAACAATTCAGTCTAATAAATCTAATTCAAATGAATTCTTTCAAAAATAGCACCCGACTGTCAATATCAGTGAGCAAAATATGGATAAAGGAAGAGAAAGAAGTAAAAAGTAATCTTCATAGAAATTTCAAATATTTAAAAAACGTAAGAATTTTATAGGTATCAAAAATGAAACATAATGATCACAAACCAAAATCGAAATCAGCAATCCTTGATTCGTTCTTATTTAATTCTTTGAAATTTTCTCCCTGAAATGATAGTACTGTAACAGAGAGTTGTATGAAAGGATTTCACTAGCTAATTTCTTTCCTTAAACAATAATTGACAAATTGAAGTAAAACTGGGTGATAAACATTGTGATAGTAATTGAGTGTAAAATTGCATTATATACAAATTGCTGCCACTCCATAAAAGTAAATAAGAGTTCATTTTTTTTTAAAGATAATTTCACGATTTTTCACTGTTGAAAATTTCTGCAGTGAATAAATTTTTTGAATTAAAACATTCAGTCATTTGACATTTAATAATAATGCAATAATAGCGATCGTGAAATTATCGTAAGAAGAAAGAACATTATTTGAATGAGAAGAAAAATGAGAGCTAACAAAATGATTTAATTCATTGCTATCGACAGGTAATGGCTCTTTTTTGATGGTCAACAATGAGGCAATTGTCGGTGGAACATATTGCTTTGATATTTGTACTTCCTTGTTGCAACTATTTTCATGAGCATTTATGATATGATCAAACGATGCTATCATTAATTCATTTCGGGTTCCGTAAATCCATAAATTATCTTGCAATGAAAGCGCTTCTATTTCACTAAAAAATATTTGATTTTTGAGGCGATCTATTTTAATCTTTAATTTACAAAGTGCAAAAAATCCAATTGGACTAATTTAATGAAAACTAAATTTATAAGCTTATCTTAATAATTTTAAATTTTGGTTGATAAAGTCTGATCGTTGAAATGAAAGAGATCGTATCGCACATTTTTGACATCAATTTTCAACGATATAATACCAATTATTTAAAGGTATTATAATTTTTGTCGTATAAAGTAATGAAAATTAAGTTGTATTGTCTAAGATATGCGATGCATCTATCATTGGACGTTACCTATCTTTTGAAATGCCAAACATCATTTGATTATGTTACAGTTATATAAAACTTACTTCAAAACTTGATAAGTAATACAAATGAGATGTCGCATTTGTTTTCCATATTCTGGTCGATAGCATAAATTATTCTTTATAGTAAATACAGTATGTAACCAAAGCCATGGGCCATCTTTTGTTTGTAAGCGTAATAAGCACATTAAAGCACCATCTTTACGCTGACTTACTCAAATATATAAATTTTTTTTAATTTATAACTTACTATACTACAAAAAAAGATTTTGATATTCAAATTTTTAATGTGGAAAAATAAAAATAAAATTGAAATTAAGCTTACAGATACGATGCTTATAAGCAACTTCAAATAGATGATCGGGATGTAAAAATTGATACCATGATTTGTCAATCAATTCTTCATTTTTATAACCCAAGTAGTATACAGTCCTAAATCAACATATTACTAATTGTCACATTAGAAATCCCAGAAATTCGGTGAATTTTATAAATTATATGTTTGGTGCGATATGTTTCCATCAGTGAAGTACAATTGCGCCTCAATGCACAATTGCGCCTAAGAACTATTAGAATGAAATTATTTTCACTAAATGAGAGAATTTTAATGTTAATAAACTGGCGAAATAAGAATTTCGGAGCTAAAATGTTAAAAAATCTAAATATACATATGATCGATATGCACAAATTTTAAGTCCATTGAATGTACGGTGCTAAAGATTGATGTATTTCCGGCTGACAACATCTCAACATTTTCCGGATTGATAAGCATTTCACAGTATGCGGCAAATAATGGTTGAATATGGGATAATGAAGGCAATAATGACTGATTTGTATTGTAATAATCATTAGCATGAAGATAACGACCTTCCATTAAGGTGTACTGTAAAAATGATTCAAATGTTATTGATTTGAGATCGAATCAATTGAATTCAAATTTGACTTTAATTCCTTGGTTGGATAGAACGTTGAATTTAATTATGCTAGATTTTTGAATTGACTTCTTAGTTTAGGTTACCTTCAGTCAGAATACTTTTCAAAGTTCAATCGAAATATTTATCAAAATGAAAATTAATTGATAAAATGATTTCTTACAATCTAGCATTTTCATTTCTGATTTAAATGTAATAATTAAATTGAAAGCACTTTGTGATATTGAAGTTGTCGTTTTGTGGTTCGCGATAGATTCATTCGACAAATGAAAACTTTTTCATTGGAAAAAAAATTTTGTTCTGAAACTGATGGAGGACCAGACATAAGTTCTGCTTGTATACGTCCATGATCACGATGATCAACTAGGTCGTACACCGAATCACCTTGGCACATTATTTCTGCCTTAAATTTAAGCAAATGAAAAAACAGAGCGATTTCGAATTGTGGGATTCCCACATTGATAATCTTCTTGATTGTACAACTGTAATATCACTTATCATTCATAAATTCAAATTTATTCAACCATAATTTTACTGCGTTATATTACCTAAATGAAAATATAAGTTGTTTAAATCAAACAAAGTTAGAATTTAGGCAAAACTACCACGGAATGACCAAGATAGTCGCTTGCATTGTCAGATATGTAAACAATTTTGCCATACTTTGTCATCATCAACAAGAAGCCTCGTAAAGCTCGAAAACCTTCCGATTGTCTTAACGCTGATCTGAATGATGTTTGTATATTTGTTCCAATTACTGAAATAAAAAAATTAAAATTTAGTAATGATTTAATTTTATATTTAAGCTTAGCTTAAAGAGAATTAATTCGTCATACAGATGAAATTTTAGAAAGCATTTATATTTCATTCCGGATTCTTTTAAAGACAACAGAGATATATTGGCGGAAATATTTGCATAAGTAATTTAATACTATCGAAGATAAAAGCAGAAAATGCAAACCATGTGGCAGATAATTTTGTTTCCTGATATATATGCAGGTAAGTGACATTACTTGTAGCTGAAAGAGCCGTTTTTTCATCGAATCCGTTAACGGGAGAAGATCACGCATTTTTTGAATTTCCAAATTAATTTGATCACGGCGATACTTTGATGCACCACGAGTTGATCTGTATGATTATTACTGTTTTCATAGACATTATTTTTACACTTTAATCAATAATAACAAAATAAATCTTTATCAGTTCTGATGTATGAGCTATTCAACCGGTATACTTTAATTATTACATTGCAATATAATTTTGATCTCAATTTTATTTTTGGCCAAACATTCGAGCAATGGACTTATGATGTGGAATGGTTCCAACTAAGAAATTAATTTCGGGATATTCTTGATTTATATTACATCTTGATTTAATTCACTACTTAATGATCTATTTGTTTTTTTCAATCATTTATCTGTTATCCTTTATCTGCTATCCTATTCATATATCAGAAATATATTTATGTATCGTACGAACTCTTTATAAGTATTTGAGATTGTTTGCTCTTTTCTTTCCATATTTTAAATTAAAGTTTTGAATTTCATATGTCCTGAAAAAAATTTATCCATCAGTATCATTATATATGCGCCGATGTCACAAATATGGAACATTAAAATAAAGCGTAATGTTTGCTTTATTGTAAATAGGAGGTGCAAAATGTTAAAATTTCATCACTTTTCGATGTGACAAAATTATTTCAAACTAAAGTATGGAAAAAGTAAACAAAATTATCGGATGAGTATATATTGCTCTGTCAATTTATTCTTTCAATCAAACAAACATACTCTCTACTAAATGAGAAATGTACGTGGAAATAATTGAATATCAACAAAACTTGTTATGTTACAGATATGAATGTTATGAATTATCAGCAAATATCTTATTGTTATCACTGAATAACCTTTAATAACCTTTAACCTTTAATAACCAGATAACCTTTAATAGCGATAACCTTTAATTAGAATGCAAATGCGATAGTTCAAAGTTTTATTTTAATTTTTCTGATGATAATTTTAAATCGTAATTAACAGATTTTCTGTAAAGGTTGATTTTCAAACCTTTATCATCAGATAATCTAAGCAGTAAGGTTTTTGATTATATACTGAAAAGATAAATATGAGTAATGATAATATAGCGGTTTTAGAGGATAAGAATATTTCTTCGTATAATATACTAAATATGAACATAAAAAGAAGTTAAAAAAGATAAAATCAGAATAGACAATTAAACTTGTAAGTTTTAAATATGAAAAAAGTTTTTTTTTGAATCGATAAATATAATTTATTTGCTAGTTATATTAGCTGACAAGTGAAATTGAAATATTACTGTAACAAATCACCGAAGATTTCTTTTATTTGTACTGTAATTGATTTATCTGAATTAAGTAGTATAAAAAAGATTCTAACTCATTTGCATTTTAAATACTCTATCACGTCATTTAAAGAAATCCATTATTATCTCAGAATTTTTTATAACATCGTTCATATGGACGGTAGTCGTAGTCGCAGCATCTTTCGGAAGACTTGAATGAAACTGATTACTGATCAAATTAGTCATTATAAGGTATTATGGAAGTTTATTCAGTTATGATGTGCATTGATACTTTTTGGAGGTATTCAAGCTTGTTGTCTCCAATATGATCGTGTTAAGCTAATTTATTTCGTGCTAAATTTGTTTTAATACAAAATAAACTAGCAGTTGTTAGACAGTTAGATCTTAACCCCTTAATCCTTAGGATTCTTACATACTATTATCACAAATTTAAAACTTCATCCTTACATATTATCATCATAAATTTAAAACTTCATCGCGTACCTATTAAATATGTACGATCGTTATTAATAGCAAATAATCTAAAGATGATGATAGTATGCTAATTTTGCATTTCTCTCTTTTTTTTTGAATTGTATTTTTTACTTTCTGAATCGTCTATTGGAAGAAGTTCAGAATCTTAATCATCTTGAATAAAATTGCATCATAATTACAAGAGAGCTGAGAAATTCGCTGAATTCGAGAATTTCACGAAAATTTCATTTCAATTAAAATGTATCAATTTTCTCAAAAGAAAAAAATGACATTAGACTAACCTGTTATTATTTGGTGATTGTCGCCGTATTAGATTCATGTAAAGAAACTATATTAGCGAAAATTATTTTCAGTAGTATGAAATTGATGATGATAGTAAGGAGCTGGCTGTCAGTTAATTCTCAAGCTTTAGTGACGATGTTTTATTGTCGTGACCCGACCCCTGGTTGCCTCTTCAAACTCTGATCTGTCAATTTGATCTACTGTCCACTACATCCTTCTATTCTCTTCCTAACTCAGGGATATGACGTCATAATGGTCAATAAACATACAGGAGTTAGTAGTTCATTGAGGAAGAGGAACTATCTAATGGTCGTCATCGCTTACCTGTCTACTACCTATTAATCCGAATCATATCTCTTCTTGTTGTGTAACTATACATACTTTTCTATACTAACCATATCCTCTTTGTATTTGTGTTTTCCAAAAGTAAACTAAGATCATAGGAAATTTACCAATAAAACCGGTCATACATACACGAAATTTCAATAAGTAAACAAAAATTTGCACAAAGTACGGCGGACTTAACTGAACTAAACTAATTCTCAAGAACTATTCAATCAACTAACTACACACTAAACATCCTTGTATGTTCAATATCAGGAAATAAATTCCGAAAAAAAAGATCCGGAATCTTTTTTTTTGCTAAAGGAAGTAAACTGAAAGACAATTTTCAAGTTATATTTATTTTAAAAAAAAAATGAAAGAGTAAATTCATTGCGTGATATACTATGAACATGTATCATTCACAATAAATCTTTTGCATGTTTGTTTTTCGAAAAGATAATTTAAAGGTTAATGATAATTAAAGGAGATGAGTTGCACGATGGTCAATGTGAATTGGTGATCCTAACTTTAATGCAACTTGAAAAATGGACATGTTGGATTTAATAAGTTATTTATTTGATGTATGTTTTCGGCTTTTTTCAATACACTGCTGTCAGGCATACGGTAGAAAGTCAACCAATTTACGCATTACAATCATAAGAAGGCAAGATCGTTCAAGATTACATTAGGGTTCGATGTATGTTTAAATATTTACTTAGTTATTAAATAATCATGTTTGTTTTAATTTCATTTCCAAGTAATCCTAAAAGTTGGCCATTTTTTAAAGGAAATATAAATTAATTAGCCTGTTTGAATTACAAATGGCATATTAATTTTTGTCTTTGATAAGATGGCTTCCATTTTTTTTTTTCAAGAATATAGGAAAAGTTGGAGGAATACTCTTATCATATTGATATGGATTAAAGTAAGTGGTTGAAAAGTATCATCAAAATCAATTAGCTGTAATTTTATCACGGAAATGGAAGAAGAGCCATAAATAATTTAGCTAGTCCCGGCATTCGTAATCATCTCAACGATTCGTAATCATCTGTGATCGCTTACGTAATCAATTTAATTATTATTTAAATTCAAATTTGATAGGAAAAATTGGAGAAATAAAAGAAAGAAGAAGCTTCACTTTTTAGTAAAGAAATTTATGAACATATATCATTTCCAGTAATACCGTATAATAGAGAACAATACTTAATCTCATGTTTTTCTTTTGAGTCAGCAAGATGGTCCTTCCTCCTTGTTGAATGTCAAGAGATGGTGATGATATTAATTTATTTAATGAAGTTATCGCGATGTCGCATGTGAAATTGTTGCAAAATTCCTCGAAGAGTTATGGAACTGTTAACATAACACACGAGCAATTTTCCTGGCTAATAAAATTTGTCGAATTAGACAAATAAATCTGACTTATCATTTTATCATTCTGATTTCAATTTTTGTAAAATTTCTATAATTAGATCATTTCTATTTTCATCAACTTAAAATTGTTGAAAATCTAAATTTCATTAAAAATTACTAGATTCTTTTCAAGCTGTGACTAATTTATTCAATTCTTAATTCGCTTTCATAGTTCGAATTTCCAACATTAGTAGCGAGCGATTTTCGGCAACTTAACATCCAACCCGTTAGCACGAAAGAGTGGGAAGAGTTTATTGGGGGGCATTATTGCTAGCCGGGGAAAGATTAAGTGTTGAGCGTTTCAAACGGATAAAGCATGTATTTTGGATAGTCTTATGTTTTGCAGTAAAAAAAAAGAAGAAATAAAAATGGCAAGGAAGTGAACGAATTTACTATTTAAAAATGCGGCAGTTAATGCACTTGTACACTATACGATGGCTTCTTGTTGGCTCAGTTCGATCTCTCAGATTATCACCGAAGTATTATGTCAAACGGAAACGGAGAAAATTTATCGAACCTGTTGTGGTCGAGAAAACGCCCAGTAAGAAAAAGATTGCTGAAATTTATGAAGACATGGAAGTCGGGTGAGTTACTGTGAAATGAAATTTGCACGTGAACGTGTACTTGTTGTAGATATGAAATTGGAATACTGGGGAAGAACCTTTCATACATTTGACACATAGTAAAACAATAAGTTTCTTGTAAGCGTTGTTTGCTAAATGCTATTTTCAATGGTTTAAATTGAACTATGTTTAATCAATAAATTTCATTTTACTTCTCCCGAATTTCTGATTTGTAATATGTTAGATCAAGATAATGTATTGCTATTCTTTATTTTTTATTGAGAGCTCACATTTTCAGAGAATTGGCCAAAGTGTTAGAAAGTTCTGAAGAAGAAATTTTGCAAGTGCTCAAAGGTTTGAACAAATCACCGAGGAGCAATAGTGAAAGTATATTACATTTACATGATTCCCGGATTAAATTTGTAGTTCTCTCCAGAAATCGCACTTCAAGCTTCCTTTTTATTAATATTTATCTCTACCGATATTGTTCAAGTTAAATTTTTATTTTCAGAGCTTGATATGTTTAGTATCACCACTGTAGTTGGAGCTTTTGGTTTGAAACCAAAACTGGTAGCGTATCCTCGAAATGCTATCGTTAATAATGTTGAATTGGATGCCTTTCCACAGTTAGTTTTATCCTCATTTAAGAGATCGCATCGTCATTCTATTCCATTATATCAAGTTTTCGCATAACCTAATAGAACTTTCAGTAGATACTTATATTCTCAAGTTTACACCTATCTGCATTCCTTATACTCATTTACTAATGATAAAGCTTTACTGATTTCTTTTCTTTTAGGCCTCCACCTCCAGAAGATGAGTTAAGACAACGTCCACCTGTAATCACCATAATGGGACATGTTGATCATGGAAAGACAACGCTTCTTGATTGTCTAAGGCATTCTCAAATTGTAGAAAGCGAATATGGTGGTATTACACAACACATCGGCGCTTTTACACGTGTGAAAATTTATTGTTGCTAAATCATAATAGCATTGTTCACGTGCATGATATCAATGTGAAATCATAATCAACTCATTCTATTAACTCTGATTGGGTTTTCCGTATATTAATGACTTATATATTCCGAAACATTAGAAATTCCATTATTATGCAGTATAATCTGCAGGTTTTTTTATTTTATTTGTATTGCAGTAGATGAGAAAGATTGTAAGATTACATTTCTGGACACACCTGGACATGCGGCATTCGCCAAGATGCGAGAACGTGGTGCACAGTCAACTGATATAGTTGTTCTAGTGGTTGCTGCCGATGATGGAGTAAATGAACAAACGGTACAGTGCATAAAGTAAGCTGTTTCAGTTTTGCTTAAAGTTGTTCATTGCAGTTAAAATATGTCAACAGTAAAGCTATTTCTTATACACGTCGTTAAATACTTAGAATTATTTTTCCTCCACTTAAGATTTAAAGATACATTCTTTTCATCAACTTCTCTGAAGTCCATAACAATATGATGAAGACTTTATTAAACTCTTTTACTTTTTCAGTTATGCAAAACAAGCGGGTGTACCGATCGTTGTTGCCATCAATAAGATTGATAAAGCTAATGCTAATCCTGTGAGTCCTTATATAATTCATAATTTTTTCTGATCGGTCGATAAACAATCAAGTTCAGACTAAAATTTTATGCAAGCTTGAAATTTTTAGATTAAAGCTAAACAATCACTTGTGGAACACGGAATTTTGGTAGATGATCTTGGTGGTGATGTTTTATGTGTTGAAATTTCAGCTCTACAGGGTAAAAATGTGCATGAACTAAAGGTAGCTGTTTTTCTAACTTCATTCGCTTATTTCATTGTTTGTTTCACGAAGTTTGACTAATAGACATTGGAATGTCATAATTATCAGCAAGAGATTTCATTGATGAAAAACAAAAATTATTCAGGAAGCAATCTTACTACAAGCTGAGGATATGAATTTGCGTTCAACTTGGAATGGACTAGTGGAAGGGATTGTGATTGAGTCAAAAATTCAAAGCGGTATGTTTTGCCTGCCCAGGAAGTTTATTATTTGACATTTGATAGGAATGAAGATCGTAATGTAAATAACTGAACATATTTCTGTATTCTTGAAAATATATGGTATTAGAACACACCTCTCTTATTGGTCATTTTGGGATAAACGATTTTGTAATGAGCGGATTTACAGTGGGGATTGATGACTAGTATCATGTGTGACACCATTTATATACCCGCATAGCTTCTGAAATACTGAAGAGTGCGCTAAACTGAATTCTGCTTAAATTAGGTTAGTATTTGGGTAGTATAATAAACTTTCAATCTAAAAAAGGCGCAGTTAAATTACTTTTTCGCATTTTTAAAAATTTTTGTGCTTCATCTTTTCTTTTCTATAATTCAGGTTTTGGCAAGGTTTGTACAATGATTGTCCAACGTGGGACTCTCGTGAAAGGCGCAGCGCTGGTAGCTGGAACATCTTGGGCTAGAGTTTGTGATCAACTTTGTTGCACATAAAGAAGCGTCATGTGTACTATTTGTTCTCCCTATCAACTGGCTACTTTTGCTTTGTTCTGATTTCTGATTCCTTAAACTGTCTTACCTAGAACTACAAAGTGTTCTAGGTCCGTGCAATGCATGATGAATATGGCCGCGAGTTAGCGAAAGCTGTCCCAAGTACCCCAGTAGTAGTCGCTGGCTGGCGAGAAAATTTGCCTGTTCCAGGAGAACGAATTCTTCAATTGGAAAATGAACAAAAGGCTCAGCAAGTTGCTCGTTATAGATTGAGGAAGGAAATAAATAAAAAAGCGCAACAAGATTGGGTGATTATGCTGCACTATTCCATCGAGCTACTCCTGATGCTAGTTAAAATATAGTTAAAATAAAGATTGGGTGATTAAAATAAAGTGAAAACTCGCAGAGGCAGTAAGTTTGATTTGTTTCTGCTCGTAATTTTATTGATTTCAGAATTTACATTTCAGAAAACTGCTGAAGAGCGAATTGAGAGCGATAGAAAGAAGTATTTAGAAAACCGCCGTAAGTTATTAGATGCTGGTTTACGTGTTGGGTCTACTTTACGCCTGGTCGTCCATAAGGTATGTTTCATAATAATTTGTCAGAAATGATAATTCATGATGATATAGTGATCCATGGTCTTTATATAACTGCCAAGCCTTCGGAAATTGAAGAATTCCAAGGATTTTGTTCAGGAGCAGAAGTATCAAAAGGATACTGAAAATCAAAAACCATGCGTAAGGTTAATGCTCAACGCCGATGTTGATGGAACTCTCGAAGCCATCCTAAATGTTTTCGACACATACAAGTCGGATGAAGTTGAGCTGGATCTTGTGAAATTCGGTGTTGGACCGCCCAGTGAAAGTGATGTCTTGTTAGCAAAAGATCTTGGAGGTATATACTTTTCCACTATATTCAGATTCATATCCAAAGCAGGGAGTCACTAAAATTTTTTTGTGACGGGTTAGAAAGTCGAGCCTGCGTTTTTAAAGGGAAATTGTGTTTAATGATTCTCAACATTGGCTGAAGAAGGAACCGCTTCGCTTTGGTAATCTTTTATTCATTCAATAGATTTAAACTGATTGATAAAATTCAAGTGCCAAGTCGCATTTGTCAATGGAGAATGGTGCAGCGTTCAGTTATGCCGGCATTCTAAATTAAACTTAATGATGAATATTGTATTCGAGTATGTTTTGCAGTTCTGCTTTACTGTTTCAACGTTCAAGTGTCACCAGGATTGATGCGTAATGCTGAACAGTTAGATGTGGAAATTAATTGCTTCAACGTTATTTATCGTTTAGTAGAAGATTTGAAAAGTCGTTTATCGAATTGCCTCCCGGAAGAAGTGACGTTTGAACAAGTTGGTGAAGGACATGTAATAAAAAGCTTTTCAGTGATTGTTGGGCGAAAGAGGCAATCGGTTGCCGGCATTCTAGTAGATTGGGGCACGATCAATAAGTAGGTTTCCATATTTTCGAATTCCATTCATAAAATCGCAATTTCATCTTTTCTTTTAAAGTTCTCAGGTATCCTTGGTCCACTGATTTTATGATTTGTTAGGTTCAAACGAAATTGTTTGGACTGTTGGATCAAGTATTCAGTCAATTAAAATCGTCAAATTCGTAGTCAAATCGTCAAATTCTTTTATGTAAAATCGATAAAGAATTTTTCTTTGACATAAATTTCTACATAAAGTAGAAACTTTAACTGTTTGGATTGTTCAGTATCTCCTTGCTTTTACAGAACGGATTCTCTGCGGGTGGTAAGAGGTACAACTGTTATCTTTGAAGGGTCTATACGTTCGATGCGCATTGGAGCTCAGGTAATTTATTCTCCTTATATAATTGAATTCGATTGATCAAACCTGCTTATGAACAGACAAAGTCGGGGTCATTTCAGAATTTTAGTTATATCCAAATGGATTAGATATAATGTTGTTTGGCGATAGTTAGAAAAATCTTGTAAAATGATCAAATGCACTTAAGGCAGTGAATTCGGCAAGTAAAAACGAAGAAGTGGGTGTTGCTGTATCAAATGAAAAGATCGTTTTCAAAGAGGACGACATTATTGAAACGTATCGAGAAACGAAGGTAAAAAAGGAAATCAATTGGAATCCTCCAGGTTTTTAGTTTTATATCTAGAAGAATGCACTTAATTGGAGTTGAATTGGAAAATATTGCTGACTACAGGATACTGGGTGACATCTTGCTGCACACGATTATTTGTAAACATGTATATGTTAAGACTCTTAAATTTTGCTTGAATGCTGTTATAAATGAATTGGAAATTTCTTTATTAGAAAGATCAGTTATGATAGGCCACAAAACATAAAAACACGGAATTACTCGTTCTGGAAGAGTACTCTTCATCATTGGAACATGTTGAATCAGAACATGAAATGACCAAAGTGGCAAGTTCTGTCAAAAATGACTCAAGGACTCTCATCGATTGAGAGGACTGTTTCGCGGTAGTAAAGCTTAGCGCTTTTCGTCTTTCAGGAAGAAGCTATGTGAATCTAGTGGTTAATAAAATTCACCTCATGTCTAATTCATACAATAACTTCTTTTTGGTTTCATTCCCACTTTTTATATCTCCGTCACTAATTCCGCACAAATATATGTCCTTTACTAATCAATTTTGATAAACAAAAGTCACAAAGGATGTAAACATATCAAATTATGCATTACAAGAGGGATTTAATTATAGACAGTGCATTATAACACAAGAAGGCCGTACACATACTGCAAAACAACGAGAAACAATCAGGTACCAATATAGTCATGAGTCAATGACATATCCACTTAAATGGCACACTGATGTACTTCAAATTTCTAAACCTTAATTTCAAGCATCTCAGATCTCAGTATGTAAAACTTTGTTTAAACGAAGAATAAAACCTACCAAACATATGCACAGAGACACTGATGCACACATACAGCATTCCAAAAATTTGTCATTACTAAATTCAAGATACTTAAAGATATCAAAAGAAAGTCAATTCAATAAAGAATTGAAGCTCACATATCAGTCAAGACTAAAATCGCGTCCTGATCGTAAAAACAAGTGCCCTTTCCAATAAGAGTTGCCTAGAAGAAAGACCTTGTCAGGGCAAATCACTAACGGTTGGGGACGTCTTTCGACATCAGCGTTTATAAATATTGCCGAATATAACACACAATTTCTATACCACCAATCAATATCACATACCATAATATCATCTTGTTAGGAGTCGTACACACAAAAAACAATACAAATTACTTAAAATACTTTCAGAAAATACAAAATTAAAATGATGAAATCTGCGAACAATACAAGGCACATTAAGGCGACTGCTATGAAATGAGAGATTGCATCACAACTTCTCTAAATATGTAAATAGCACAAAGTATTGAGAAGAACACAGCGACGATTTATAACAAAAGAGTTCAAGCATAACTTAATGGGTTCTCAAATATTTCGACATTCATTAGGCCAGAAAGTCAAATAGCTAATTCAATATAAAAAGAAGGAACACTGAAAGACATCAGTGTTCTGATCAAAGAATATAATTTCAGTTGTGAGATCTCTTCCTTTTTGGAAGTTCGTATTCTAAACAGCGATACCTCGGATCAACAAATTTTGGAAAAAATTCAGGGAATTATAAAATCGAAGTCTTTCCAGAAATTCGTTCGTAATCACTGCTTTGTTTTTATTCATTCAATTCTGCTTTGCCATATTTTGTTGGAGAAGGGCAAGCAGCTGTTGTCCATGCTGCTGGAAAAATTCCGCTGGATCCATGTTATTGGTGATGTTATGGAAGCTAGCATTACCATCATTGGTGTTAGAAAGCTGCTGAACTGGTGCACTGTAATAAAAAGCTTGAGAATTAACGACAGAAATAATAAAAATGTTGAACTAATTCTGCAAAAAAAAGTAATCATTATCATGCCACACTAGTTTTGAAATACGATCTCACTGGCTTTAGCAACATGGTTTTCCCTATTTCTATCTTTGTACACTTTATTCTTGTTAAGTTACAAGATGCATTTGATAAGTTTTTCTACTCTATGTTTTACTGCTATATGCACCACAAACAGCGAAAAAAATACCATTGCCGTTGACTGGCGAGACTATTTGGGCTTTCGCTGTACCGTCCATCTGGTTCATAACGGTCATCGTTGTATTCCATCCGTTTGAGGCTTGTTCGCATTGCTTGATTCAGCAAGCGTAGCATCGTCTCGCGATCATCCGCTGGTAATTCTTGTGAAGTTTCTAGCTATAAAATGCAGATATGCGGTACAAAAAAGAATTAATGCAATTGAATAACGATATGTTAAATTTTAACGGAGCAAATTTTAAAAGAAATAGATTAAAGATGAAAATGATCTAAAGATGAAAATGAAAAGCTAGTATCGAGTTGTCAAATTAGCATCTGCATGTCATATTGACACATTTCCGGATGGATTGCATAGAGCCGCGAGAATTATAAGCAAAAATTCAGATCTAGAAAATTTCGAGAGTCTTCAGTAGGGGAGGAATCAACCTTATTTCTTCAGTAATATTAACTTTCAATCTTGACTTCCCATTTAAATCAGAATTTATTAGCAAAAACATATACTCACTAATTGACGTGCTTGTAAAACTTTATCCAAACCCGTATTGAACTGCTCTAAACATTCCGCGATATGTTTTGCCATTTCTGAAGTAAAAAAAGTTTGAAGTAAATGAAGGCATAAAATAATTTGCTGAATAAAACATAACAATTACTAATTGTTAAATTTATCCATTGTATGGAAGAATCAATCAGTATATTTTATCGAAGAAGTATAGATTACTCCTTTATTAGATAAGCTTCAATCATATTCGGCAAGCAATAATAGAAAGAAACTTGAGTCAAATCAACAAACCAAGCAACGCGAAGATTCATTTTCTTACCATAACTAATAGTTAAATATAAATCTACTGCTCATATCCTTGAATACCCCATTTATAAACTGTCGAAAACTGAACTTAACAGATGCACTAGAAACATTGAAAAAATAAATTACCATCCATCAGTTGCTGTTGTATTTTTGAATACATCACGGACGGGTAATAATACCACTGATGCTTACTAATAATATTTTTCACATTGTTGTTATTACTGGTTGTAGATGCGAAGAGAAAGGTTGTATTTCTACCATCCCCTGAACGGTGTCGTCGATGACAATTCTTCTGTTGCGATGGTTTATTTAACAATGAATAACATCGACAATTAATGCTATTATCATTATCATCGCCCAAATTTTTCCAAGACCAGTTCCTGTCTGTCTTTGTGACAGAATCAGATTTTTTGTATTCATTCAAGTGTTGGTACTGATAATTTCGTAGAAATCGTTCCGCCAGTTTTCCATAGTCATTATTAAACTTATTGACTCTACCATCGCTTTTGATATTTTCGACACCGCTATCAATGCCACTGTTATTTCTACTATCATGAATGTAGCTACGATGTACTATTAAATCAGAACCACCACTAATTACATCATTTTTGTTACGACTACTGCCATCATTAACGGAGCTTTTGTAGTGTTGAATGACCTCTCTGCTAGTAACAGTATCATCATTACTATTAATATAATCATTATCATTGCTGTTACCAATACCATGATCAACACGATCCTTAATAGATGATTCCGAAGCTGTGTCAATAATATCCTTAACAGTTGATTCTGCAGCAGCATTAACAGTAAGGACCGCACTTCGATATCTACTGCGAAAATAATCAGATACAGATTCATAATGGCGCTGTAACGATTTCTCCCCCCGTCCTTTCCTGCACAAGCCATGTAAATTCCACGATGTATCCATTTTTGTAACATTACGTATCGATTCAATTGCTGCTTTTAAAAGAGGTCGCGGTCGTACAGCCATACCAAGATCTGGTATTGACAGATAAACTGGATCCATCTCCTCCCTCTCTTGGCAAAAATTTTTTCCTTTATCACTATTAAAGTGAGATTTCGCAGATTTTGATTCTACTGACAAATAATACTGTTGCTTGTTAAGATCAGGTACGGAACGATAATAATGATGCCGCTGCCACTGCTGTTGTGTCTCTGAAGCATACCTTCGTTGCCTTTCTTCAACTTTTGCCAACTGTAACCGGAAGAAAATGTTGCCGGTTGACAAAGGAGAGCAGATATTGTGGTTATCATTACCATTTTCGATTATTTCGGGTGGGCTGTTCGTAAATGTAACACTACGTCGTTTCATGTCAATTTTAATATCCTCTATTTCAAATCCAACCGTTATCCGTAACGAAGACAAAATGTTATTAGTACTGGTAGCAACAATCGTAGTAATAACAGCAGTCAATGAAGGAAATAATGGAGCGGTTGTCGGTTATCGCTATCTTGTTATGATCATAGATGACAAATGACCACCGACCAATCGCAGATAAGAAGGCAAATTTGTAAGTTTAAACCTTGCAAATGGACATCGGCCGGTGAATGTCCTAAGCGCAATTAAAGGTCATCACAGTTGCTAATACTACTGTTGATATCAATAAAATATTTGTGATCATATCATCAAATGGATTGCGGCAATTATCAAATATATAGACAAGCATACCTTTATAAAAAATTTATATTGTCTAACTTGTACCACAATAATCGGTTTTGAAGATATTGATATAGAAATTAGAACAGAATAAGACGAAACGAATTGCGGTTAAGTACAAAGCGGTCCTGCAGACCGTTACTAATGAACGTCACAAAAATATTTATGCACTACTTGCTACCAGTACTACATGAACAAGTTTCAGTTTAAAATCCCAGAATCGAAATTTTTTGAAGAAATTGAATTCTTATAGTTTTATAGATTTCGTGGTAGATATGTGACACGAAAAAAGTTGGAAATCCTAAAAACTTATGATTCAGAACATACTAAAGAAGGATTTCCTAATCAGATCGTAATGTTAAATTTATTAGTTAAAAATTCACTATAATGCCAAAATGCAATAATGAAAATATGAGGCGATATCTGTAGATTTTTTGGGTAATAACTACATTGGGTTGAATTTGGCAAATCACTTGTATTTGTTGGCGACGATAAGAAAAGAGAAGCAAGAAAAGAATGGAAGAGAGATTTTGATATAATTGCTGTCTACCACATTCCTTTCAAGCTTACACTTCACTTCAATTACAATACTATCATAGCCATCATCAGCATTCTACTGCTAATAATATTACTAATACTATTGTCAAGGCCATTCGCGCACCCCTAAAGTGTCTTCACCTTCAGTGATTGAAGCAATTCATATATATTATACAATATTTTTTTGAAAACTTCTATTCATGAAAATTTTTATAGAAATCTGTATGTCGTTCATAAAAAACAAATATGGAACAGAGAAATGAAAGGAATAACTGCGCCCATAAATATAGTGAACGTTTTAACAATTGCAGAAAGATTAAACAAAGTTTTTTATTTTACGATAATTCTATTCATAACAGAGATCCTTCGGAATTCCTCACGTTTTAGCTTTTACAAAATTTAAAGATTCTCGCAAATTCCTGAGTTGCAGATTTTAAAACACTAAAAATGTTCATCGAAATTAAGCTTATCCTATTTTAAATATTTCAAGCTCTTCTAATACACATTATTTTCAGTCATTTCTAAATAAAATGTGTTCTATCTGATTTTGTAATCCAAAGTGAGCTGGGTATTCATTGAATATCACCATAAAAATATAAAACAATCTAGTCATAACCCTAATTTTCCACAGCAAGCTAAAATGTTAACTATAAAATTAGGCCTAATATTTTTCACCAAACATTAGAAAAAGTTGCAGTATAGATATTTCAAAAAGTTTAGTATGTCAGCATTCATGGAAGCGATCCAATAAGTTTTTCCAAGATAGCGCTGCATTTCTGGGCATTAAATGAGCATAGCCCATTCATAGAATTCTACATTTAGCATAAAAAGATAAAAAGTAGAAAATTTAACATAATGAGATAAACAGTAAAAAAAAGTTTGTTGGAGTTTAATCTAACAATAAGCACTTACGTTTTGACTGGTGAGTTTTAGCAGCAAAATCATGGAAAGCTACCGCTTCACTGGATGGAGTTGATTGCTGTGAATATTCTTCGCTAGCCACATCTGGTGCCACTATGTCACTACTAAAATATACATAGTGTTAGTCAGAATGCCAAGAAATGAAAATATGTTAGAAAACGAAAATGAAAATTTCGTTCCGTTCAGTAAATGAAATACCTTACATATGGAAACATAACAAAATTTAAGTCAACTTAAAAAAAATTGAATAATGAAAACCAGAACCTTGCCAGTTTTTGAGCCAGATAACTCGGAGCTCGACGTTGAGTATTTGAAGAAATGTGCCGCTGTTGCGGTTCGAAAATACGACGCGTTTGAAGAACGCTTTGCCTTGGCGTACTTTCAACACATGATATACTCCTGTAATGCATGATAACTTGCTTTCCAACTAGATATTTTAAGATTTGAAATGAAATTATCCATAAATGAACTGGATTTTCAAACCTGCTTGCGCCATTAATGGTGGTGAAGTATCGTCGTGAAGCAAGCTGTTGTCCGACAATCCCACCACCCTGCAGAAGCGGCGATCCATTAACTTCCGAACTATTACTATCACTTTCACCACTTGTCGTATCTCGAGATACCCGACTTCGTGGCTGATATCTTTCAACCTGGCACAAAATGTTTTACACTTATTACTAAATCATTACCTTCCTGTCTTTATCTCTGTGTCATATCAAGGATGAAGTTGTTTAGGAAAGTATTAAACGAGGGAGAAAAAAAACTAACTCGTTTCTGCACTGCTCCTTTGCCCTTTTGATTGCGTGTTGAAAGAGCTAACGGAAATAAATGCTCTCGTTCATTTTCCGTTTCACACAAAACAACTGTTTCACCAACTTCAAACTTCGAGAGATCCGGGTTGCTATAAAGAAAGAAAAAACTTACTTTCAGCTAGAACAGATAATGAACTTCAGCCTGCCTACAGAACTATTTTCTGCACTAACCTTTAAAAGTATTTACTTTCTGTGGCAGTGAAACAATCTTTCCGTTTCATTAGCTAAAGTGATTTTTGGTCAATGAGAAACTTCCTAATAAAATCATAAAAGTGACCTCGAAGAGATGTTAGGTGAAGTAGGAAATTATTAAAAAACTTAAAATTCAGCAGTTTAGGTAACCAGAGAAAGAAATGGAATCCTTTAAACCTCGCTTTCTTCAGGTTCTCGATAGTTTTTGCTAAATTTCGTTCAGTTTTTGCACTCAAAGATATTTCTGCTTGGCTCAAAAGACTGCTGCCAGTTAATGCGTCGTTTCTTTCCTGAGTATTGTATAAATTACCTACTGATCGAGCAATGAAACGATTTCGGATGTTCAATCCGGATGCACCACTGAAAACTATTACATCTGCTTGCTGTGAGTAAGAAAAAAACTATGAATATGCATGAAAATCAACAGCGGGATAGTCAAATGTTGGAATAAGAACAGCACTAACTTCCCAAACACCTTGTTGGAATTTCAAATAAAACTTCAAAATTTGGATTTTTATTTAAATTCTTTTGCAACCTGACAGTAGCTCACAGCACGGTATTTTAGGTTTCAGTATCATTCGTAAGTTCTGACATTTTAAATTCTGTTGTGAATTTGTTAGGCCCCACTCAGATGAAATGACAGAAAATTAGTTAGTGACTTTAAATTAATTCAACAGCATTTGACAAGTTAGTCTTTGCAACTGTCCGATCCTTGTTTTCGAGGCATCTTCATAAATAAGATATAAAAACATGGGAAAAATGTTATCGAATGTCTTTTTTTTATCAAATTATCTCCCGCCATCAGGTGAATATTTCATTGGGGTATATGGAAAAAACGGCAAAATAAGATCATTATTAGGAATAAAATGAAAGAAAAAAGCTTACCCGATATTACATATAGATGCAAGTAACTTATTAAAATAAATAATTCGTGCACATTCTCAAAAAGCTCTACTGAAAACAGTAAAAGCATAGAATAGTCCTAATTGAATGAAAATGCCAGCAAAATATCTTCATCTTATGATAAGGTATTGTCATTAGCATACAGCAGTTATTTCAACAGTTATTGAGAGCTAGTTCAATATTTAGTTTCAAGTATCTATGGAAATAAAATCACTTACACAGGAAAAGTATTAGCATTAAGTCGTGATGTATATGATCTGCCAGCATCGCTATTAATACCAAGCAGTGAACCAAGTCCAGGTCGATTTCCGTTTTGCGGTGCAGCGGCTGTTAGCCGAAGATTACCGAATGATTTCGAACGCGACATAATGTTTGGATAAACTGCTGCGAAACCATCATTACTTAGAGGTCCAGCCAAATTCTCCTGAGATTTGCGCAACCTGAACAGTAACTAATTTGCATCAAATAATCCAAGTTTTTTATTAATTAACAACCTGCTAAATCTAAAATCAATGCTGATTGGAAAATATAATGCCTAAAGTAGGAAATGAATTTGAAGCTCGTGTATTATGGCAAAACAGAGTTTAATGATTGGATTTTCACAAAATTTCTGTTTTCGGATTAGAAGATTTTTTCCAAAGTGTTATATGGTTTGCTTAATTCGTTGAATAGTTTCTTGTTTTTTTTATTTGTATGGTACAAAGTGATTGTAAATCTTTGGAACAACAAACGCAAATATTGATTGAGACAGAAGCAAGACAGGAGCTGCTGCGCAGTGAATTCCGAAAACCTTTACAAACTTCTTTATTGTATTAAATTGTTTCAATGCCTAGCATTAATAAAAATGCTGAGTTTCTACGTTGGAGCATATATTTGAGACAAAAGCGCTTTCGTTGAAATTTTTAATTTCTAAGGAATGAAAAGTAAGAGCTCCTAAAATTTTGTAAATTTTAAACAACACCAAATTGCAACGAAATAAATCAGCACGCTGGACAAAATCGACTGCCGACATATTTCGAGTAACTCACTTCACAAATGCCTTTGAAATCATGACTCGTGAATTCTCCTGTATATAAAGATACCTGTCACGCAATCCTGCCAATCGATTCAGTGTCTGTGATGACTGCTGCTTGTTAAGATTGACAGTTCGAAGATTTGTCCGTGAAGATGAGGGTGTCAAGCGAGAAGAAGCTATTGTTAAAACTGAATATGTCGACATATCAGAATCCTAGAAAATTACGAAACTTCTATAGTGGATCAGTGCTTCAGAAAAGTTTCTGCAAATCAAAATTTAATTTACAAAAAACAAAAATGAACTCTCATATTTTAATCAAAGCAAATTCTTTACTTGTCGCTGCCGTTTCCCGTTTCCTAGAACATTGAGCGCAAGCTGTGAAGGGCTTTGACTTCGACTACGTAAATGGAGGTCAGATGAAGCGTAATCATCTTCTGAAAAAAAATAAAAAACGTGCTTTTAGCTTTGATTTCGAAAAAAGGGCGACAAAACCATGTACTTCTTAAGTTATCATTCTCACAAGTGCTTTTCACCCATTTCAATGACTCATTTATTTCATAAAAAAATAGACAAAACGAAAAAATACAAAATTTCCAAGCCTAACTAGTCTAAAAAATTTACGAACGAAAGAAGCGTTTTACTTCATGAAACTTTTTAAAGTAAAACAAAAGCCGGCGGCTGGTGACAAAATCGAGGAAATTGCAGATAGAAACGTAAGGGAAATAAAATGAAATGAAAAGAGGAGCACCCTCTATTATTCCGGACTTTTTTCCATTGTTTAGTTTTCAATCTAAGTAAATGTTAATAAATTTGTCAGTCATAAATTAGTCGCCCTCGCATAAGAATTTTTATTATAGTTTCAGGAGGCGTATTTTAACTTCAATATCCAAAATTTTATGATGTCCACAAAAAAGGAGAGCTTTATATAAAAAGCTCATTTTCATCTTCAAGTGGAAAAGTTGTAAATACATAACTGAGTGCCAAAAACATCATGGCGAAGAAGGAATTTTGCTAGAATTATTCGGTCAATTTCGCCTTAACGCCGTATTTGGAGATCAAATTGCTTCATGAATAAAGCAGAAAAGTCATTTTAAATTCGAAACATTAGATAAATCTAAAACGTCATCCATAAGTTCCAATTCTTCACATCCAGAAATCTAAATACAAGGTGCGTAACAAAACTACCAATCACCAAAAAAGCATGCTAGCAAATCCCAATACTGATTAGCTGCTTGCTAAAACGAATCAAAACCTCCTGCAGTTGTCATTCGTCGGTTTTTGATGACATCATTAATTGCTTGACAACGAGCCAGGGGACTTAAAGCTCGACCTATGGCTGTGGTACTTAAATCATTTTTTTCTTGTTGTTGCTGCTGATATAAACGCGACAAAGTGACGTGCAAATCGGATTCTGAAAGCAAAACAAAAGCACAGTGCATGGACAAAAAGGTATTATATGTACAAGGAAGCGAGGGTATCCACTCACAGAAAAGATTGGTATGTACGGTGTGTAAGTTCTTGGGGAACATTACGCATATTTGTTTGACTTATCTATCCAAATGACGATAATAAGAGGAATTTCATAAAAGGCAGCGAGACGCTTACATAACTGAAACCACTGTGAACCTCCGAAACTTGCAGTAAATCAACAGCTGTGAATGGAGATTTTCAAAAATTATCATCAGCAATAAAATACAGCAGAAGGAAAACAAAACACAACTACAAAGGTGCTGGTGATAAGGTGCTACATATATACATAATTAAAATTAAGCAATAGCATGCTCTCATAAAGCACAGTTTTAAAGGCGAACTATGAATAAATTATGCAAAATATATTTTGGGAACTGAAAAAAAAACTAAATACAAGGTTTTAATATTAAAAAAATATTTTTGGAAAAAATAAGGGTTACAAAACCGTTAATTCATCATTTTTTAAGCAATGAATGCAACGATCTGTCCGCTATGCAATATAAAAGAAATAAGGAAAATAAACTGCAATGAAATCAAACAAAATTGAACTAACTTCGTCGTGTTGTTGGAACTGTTCGCCCTGACACCGTAGTATAATGCATGTTACTTGCCGATCGCCTTGTACCGATCAAAGGTGGCGTCCACACTGTCTCTGACTGCAAAAATGTACGATTCCTCACATGTACATTATAAACAATTTTCAAAATATTCTCAGAACATTATCACATAAAGCCTCCAAAAATTTCATGCTAAATTACACTTAAATATTACAGCATTGATTAATCGCCGAATGAACATTCGATAAGCCCTTGAAGCCCTTAAAATAAAATAGAGGAATAGAATTTTAATTATAGGTAATGTTTCAAATAAAGACCTCACTGTTCCTGATTCCTTTCAGCCGTTTTGTTAAACTACAACGCTCCATGCTAGCTCGATTAAATGTCGAAATAGGAGATTGAGGGAACGTAGAGGATGAGTCTTTAACTAGTGTACTGCATGACTCAGAAGATTCTCCAGCATTCCGCATTGTGTTACTGAGTTTTGAAAAAGAGGAGACGTGCTGCTGCAGCTCAGCAATTCCTGGTGCTGATATGGAATTCGGTATTTCTATAAAAGTGAAACATAATGATGAAGTTTTAGCTGAAATTCATATATATAGATAAACAAATCTTGAGGTTTAATTCGTTTCAGGGCACATCGAACAGGAATTCTTCTTGTACCATAAACAACCGAGATAGCAAAAAAAGAAACCACTGTAAAAGAAAATCATTGAAAATCTGTTAACAAACTTTTATGAATGTTGCACTCGGATGAACGCGGTGAATATTGTATTTGATTACCATTCATAATCATAAAACCACCTAATACGTTTTCCTTGGATGATGATGGCTGTGTGGATGACGGAAAGACGTGTGTTTCAGTGGATGGTATGCCAAATGAATTTGATATCAAAGATGAAACACAGGCCGGTGTATCTAAACGATTAAGTTGAATCATGCCATAAAGAAGGTAGTAAGAATGTCCGCAATGGACTAGATTGCAATCATTAGATTTTTTCGCACAAATCACATGCTCGAATAAATCACTCTTATTTGAAAAGACATAAAGGAAAATACATGGAATGCCGAAAGATTATTTTTTAATACTTCATTTTAATGATTGAATGCTAACCATGTCACTGATCTCATATCAAGTAAGCAAAAAGAGCAAACGTACCCCCAATGGGGAGAACTGCCACATCATCCCACTTTTTCCGTTGTTTTCGTATTAAAACATCGTTTCCCGCCACAACGGTTAATGGTCCATAACTATCTGCACTTCCTTCCTTAACAATATCAGCACTATTTCCGTCAGCATTAGGGTGCATCACTGCGGCAGTTGTCCCTGGTAGCTGAGTATATCGTAAATTTAAAGATGTACTGCTTAGAGCGCATGCATCCTCTCCTCCTCCAACGGTTGCATTACCGCCCAATTGCTGCTGGACAAAGTTCATTGCCCTCGAAGATCTGCCTGCGCTTGTTGCTATTGATGGTTGTGTTTGCTCATCATCGGAGAAATCTAAAAGAATGGGTGAGCCTGACGACACAAAATGTGGATCAGAAAATCGTACAAATATGAACAAACGATCCAAATCGCGAGAACAAGTGTATGAACTGTTAAATTTCAGCATAGTAAGAGGAATAGAATGACAGATTAAAAAGAAAAGAGATGAACAGACGAAGAGGGAAATGTGAAAGATGAAGGATCAAAAAGCAGAAGAATGAAGGAAAGATCACTGAGGAAAGTTTGAAGTGGATACACGGTTACTTTCATTATATCTTTATTAATATTATAAAATTAATGCTTTCAAAAAAAATTTTTAACCAATCAACATCACTCACTATCAGCCATGAAAAAAATTAGCGATAATTGACTACTAGTAATTTAAGTTAAACTTTTCCTTTTTAGTTCATTGAAGCCATACTAAGCTAAAGTGAAATTATGAAGCAATAAACCTTGGGTGTTTTACTGGAAATAGTATTTTTACTAGCACGATCTCAAATTATCGCAATAAATTTATTTTGAGAAGTTAGGTTAAATGATATTGACAATTTATTCCCCTTTAATCATAATAAAAACTCAGCACACGTCGATAGTTTTCACCTTTAAAGAACAGGATTTGAATACTATTTACTCAAATCACCGATTAAAATTCGGATCCCGAATAAAATTATCGTGATTTATAAAATCTGGAAACGAAGGGTTGAAAACAGTTGAAAAGTAACTCCAAAACACCTCCAATACCACTAACACAATTCAGAAGAACATAAATTAATCGAGACATAATATATAATTTTCTCCAAAATTTGAATCATTATTAATTTGCTGACGAATTAAGAACTGCCGAACCAAAATAATTAAAACAAAAATAATTACCATTAGCTGTTGAAGCAGTATCCCAACTGCTAAGTTGTTCATTCATTATCCCACTCGTACTACGCCTCACAACTTCTGTTGTCACCCGCTTCAGTTCGAAATCATCACTGCAATTACTAACTCTAAAAATTTGAAACTAAAATCTTGATTACCAAACCATTTTCAATTTTCCTATCGTAGATTTTTTCTAAAATAAAAGTTAAAATAAAACACAAATTAAGCCTTATATATCACAACTTACTTTAAAACTATAATTTTAAATATGAGTACATCTCTCTTACTAATAGGCATATTCAGAAAAAATTTCGTGCTAATAATTATTTCGAAGAAAAAAGTTCTCCGCTATGAAAAATATCGATAAATAACAGATAATTATACGCGAAAATTAGAACAATAAAAAGAATTAAATATAAGACAAGATCAAAATCAGATAATGAAATGATACAGGAATTTTTTTACAACAGAAAATGAGGGCATCAATACTGTAGTGTAATGCCTGAACGCTTAATTTTATAGCTAAAAAATTAGCTATAAATTAGCTATAAAAAATAATGCCTTGATAAAAGTTCGATGACCTACAATTTCGTAGATGAAAATTAAATGATATAAATATAATGCCTATACCTCAGAAAATCATTCCTGAAGTATAGGCATTATATTTATATTCAGAATTTCAGGAAATCATTTCATTAAGTATATCAAGAAGTCCAGTCATATTTCAATAATGGGACTAATCATTATTTCCGTTTTTGAATCGCACACCATTAAGCAGGAAAAAGCTTACAAGATTTACTCAGAGACAGCTATATACGATGAAAATTTTCAGCGTGTTTTAGGGTACTGTGATAGCAAAAATGAAAATAGAACTAAAAAAAAAACTACAATGAAAATTTTAAAAAAATCAAAAGTCGAAGTAGTATAGTAATATATATTTGATCTTTTTACAACTTTAAGTTAATTCTGAATCGAAAAATGCTAACTGGTGAGACATAACCAATTAAATACGTTCAATACTTTTTTGTTCTTTTTATATCTCGCCTACCCTTTAAACTGAATGTACGTTGGCTATCTGCTTCATATGCCTATATAGCTCTTCTAAATTGCCATGTTTTTATTTGTCATAGTAAAGTGGACGGAGTACATCCAATGCATAGGAATGAAAGTTAAGGAGAGTGCAACTAAGCTATAAAGCAATTGTTTCGAAAAGACTTAAGACAAGTGACTAACATATATCATTATTCACTACTTCAATTTTATTTGTCTTTCGTGACAAATCAAAAAAGGAATACATGAAATGAAAAAAAGCGCACTCCGTAATCACACTGCTGAATAGAGTATTGATAATCATTGTTGTTGGCTTCCGTCCCATACAACTATCCGAATCTTCATCACCAATTTTAATGCTGCCTAGTGAACCAAATTCCGATTCTGAATCTTTCACCTATAAAAATATCAATTCATCGATTTCTAGATTAAGCAATTTCTTAACTTAAACAAGTTAAGAGTAAAAAACATAATTAAAAGATTTCTGTGTTGCGTTGTTTGTATAAAACCTGCATAAACATTTCCACATAAAACTTGCATAAATGTGTTAAGATCTATTCATTGAAAGTATTGAATCCAACTTTAAAAAATTAAAATCAAGTAAAATCATCAACAGTGGAACTGCTGGATCTCCTGTTGGAGTTTAACAACAATCCAAAAAAGCCAAGAACAATTCTCAAAGAAAGCCCATGTTATGAGCCATCTACCGATATTTTTCCTAATCCTGTTTAGCACTACCAGGAAAAATCAGTGACAAAGTTTAGTCTTCGTATTTTTGGGAAATTAATAACAAAATTTCACCTTCGTATTTCGTGTATACTCCATGTGTTCATCACCAGCTGCATCACTGCCACTCCCCAATAAACTGTCAGGTGTTTCGGACCTAACAATTATGTGTCTTGCATAGAAGAATCGAAAGCTTACTTTCATGTTACGCAAATCAACACTTTTTATAAACGATGCTATATATATATATGAAGATTTCTGCAGAAATCTGACCGATATGAAAAGAAGACTGAAGAAGAAAAAAATAAGCAGACTACAAACGGATATTATTCTGCAAAATCTTGTTTACCGTTCACAAAGTTTTTCCATTCCTACGGTGGCAGTATTCCTGGTGATTTGGCATTTACGTGAGACGGCCATCATTTTGTTGACAAGAAAATTGGAGAATCGCCAAACGAAAATGCATCCACTGTAGGATACAACATATAAACGCCTGCAGTACTTCAAATAAATCAAAACCATGGTAAAACTGATTGCTAAAAATATATACATTTCTGAAAACAAATTTGTAAGAATATTTTTGAAATTCAAAGTTTCTATACTGCTGTTGAGGCAAATCAATTACATAAATCCATTAAATTAACATTATTACTAATAACCCACATAATTATTATAAATAGTTATGACTGATCTTGGAAATGCTTTTTTCGTTAGCTTCCGAATCTCAATGAAAAGGAAAAAATTCTCTCTTTCTTGTGGATAACTCTCCCTACCAAGTTTTCAGCAATCTTTAGCAGTAATAAAAAAGATTTCTTAATATCCTAGAGTTCATAGTACGAAACAATAAAATATGACGTATGCCATTCTTTCTTAGTGTCTTTGAAAGTTCAAACTTCATCTGATCTTAAAATTAACCTGCAATCAGGGGAAAAAGCAATATCTGTGATGTTATCAGATTGACCTGTCAATACGGCAACAAATTCTCCAGTGGCAACATCAATGATATACACATTTCGATTTGTACATACTGTTGCGGCATAAATTCCTGATGGATCCAGTCGTACCTATATGATAAACAAAGGTGATGGCAGAAGTATTTAAGGACTGTTTATAATTTGGAGGTAAAAGTTATATAGCAAAATTTCAGACTATATTATAAACAATCAGATGGATGAAATTAAATGCATCGGTTAATTAGATAAATAATAACCCTGGTAAGCTGTCCATCATCACTTGCAGCGCCTTTGATCTGCTTTATAAGCTTTCCCTGATACGAATATGTCCGAAGCTGACGATCCTGGCAGGCGGCAACCATTCCATCCGCACTTAGCACGACATAATTCAACCCAAATTGAGACTTTATGTGGTTTATACGTGAAAAAGTTACCGAAGATGGCTGCAAAGAATATTTATATAGAACTAGCTGGACTAACACTGGACAAAGGACTGAGTTATATTCCCATTAAATAAAAATTTGTACTCGATTGCTTAACTAATTATTCTGGTCAAACTTTACTGCCTACCTGTTTTAAGTGGTCGCGAATTATCCAAACTGCCTTAACTTACTAAATATTTTTTTTCAGAAATAATGATCACATTCAATTTCGAAAAAAGAATAAAATTCATTGAACAATTACTTTTGAATCGACCATCTTTCTAATTACAATTGAACGATCAGCAGCAGAACTTATGAGATGTAGATTACCTGCTTCCTGCAACACAGCTAGATTAATAAGATATTTTACAAATAATCTAGAAAATTTCTGTAGTAATTAAGAAAATTCATCACAAACCTCTATAAAAAGTATGGAGTTCACAGTGCTTGTATGATCATCAATACTTGCTAATGGTCGATAGCCATTAAGTGGGTCGAACAAGTGCACCACGCGATCTCGACTTCCAGTAGCTAACAGATAACGAGCTAAAACAGTGAAATTGCAAAAATAATATATGTAAAAAGACCTCGCAGAATCTATTAAGTAGGAAAGACTGGAAAAGAATATTTAGAAAAATAAAAAGAAGTACATGTGAAATATACTATTGGAAACTATCTAGCAACGAAAGCAACGAAATTTATGAAATACGAATTATTTGTATCTTGTAATATACTACTCAGTTTATTATCAACATCGAGTAGAGAGAGCAAAATGGAATTCATCATTTCGTTCTTTCTCTTCCGGTTCAGTGCCCGATTTTTTTGATGTAATTAATTTTTTAATAAATTAGCTAGCAAATGGAAGTGCGAATTCTTCGGTAAAAACTACTGGAAAAACTCACGACTTTGTGGGTCAGAATACTCCACACACATAATGTCGCTTTCATGTGCTTCAAAAAATGCAATCACTTCCATAGTTGGTGTAGTTAAATCATAAATACTGAAATAATTTAGATGAAGAATCAAATCCAAAAAAATTGAAGAAATTCTCGAAAGAAATTTTGCAATAGTGCATCACCAATTCTGTTATAAACTTTTTACATTTAAAAAAGTTAGAAACTTACGACAAATTTCCATCTCGACTACCCGCCGCCAGATGTTTACCATTAGGACTTACTTTCAAAGATTTAACGCCACTGCCTGTATCAGATATGGATGCTCCAAAAACTTCTAAAAAGAAACGAAAGAATACCGAGAACCGTCAATTATTCGAAAATTTGATATCTCCTACTTTACCTTTATTATTTTTAAACAAGTAGTGGGTTGTGCATCTCTGCTGAAGTTCATCCTATTAAGATAAAGTAAAACATACCATCCGGTGATTCGCTAAGTTGAGAATCATTATTGGTGATGAAAATGACCTTTTTCAAGTCCTCCGAAAACACATTTGCATATGGCAACGAAGTCCGTTTACTCTGCAAGAGATAGAATACACTTCATTTATGAACAAAAACCTTAAGAGTTCTGAATGAAATATACTACTGGTTAAGCCAAAAAACAAACCTCATCAAACGATCTTAATAGATGATCCACATTCCATATGCGAATAGTTTGATCCGTACCACCCGTCATGATTGAACCTTGTGGTAACCATTCAAAATTTGGCGGATAAACCTATAAAACTCATACCGTTTTTCGTAAATGCATTGAAGAAAAAATACACAAAAAACTTTCTCTAGGACTTGCCTCCAGTGAAATCACTGGTCCAACATGAAAAAGCTGTGAGGAAATCTTGAGAATACCACGATCCGTTCGTTGCCATGTATAAATGGACCTGTCGCTATAAATAACAGTAAGCATTCCAGTCTTTTTGTTATATGTTAATGCTCGCACATCCGGGTACCTGAAAAGCATATATTATAATTTCAAACTTGTATTTGAGTCATGTATAATTATGTTTCAATGAGGCCACTATTTTCAAGAGACTTATTTTTCTGCTCCAATAAAAATAATGTGCTAATTTTTTTTGATTTCAAAACGATCATCAAGCTTTAATTTTCATTAACCAAAAAAAGTGCCAACCTGCACCCTGTTGGATGTGAATTAGGTGACAGTGCATCTTCTTTTACACCTTCCGCAACATCACATAATAAATAGTGCGGTTTACAGAATGTAAATTTATGCTTCATTGTCACGATATCTAAACATCTTATAAAACCATTGTTGAATCCAATAAATAATTCACCAATTCCAAGCACTATCGACCGTGGAACTTCGCTGTGCAAATCATAGGTATTCACTAACTAAAATAAGCTTAGCTGTAGAAATAATTTCATAAAAGGATATAAAATTAAATCTTAATGTGAGTTTCGAATAAAATTGCAATTGTCAAAACACCAAAAGAAAGTTGTATATTTGATGGGTAATGGCGAATTTTACTTTATTCAACTATAAAATATAAAAATGGAGCTTCTCCACCTCCAATCTCATCACTTAGACAGAAACACTAGTTCAATAAGTTAATTTCTCATGCTGTGGATGAATTGAAAAAGAAAAAAAAATGTATACAGAAAAATTGAAGGAAATGAAAAGAAAGAGAAACAGCGCAGAAAGGAAAGCGCGAAAATAATAACACTGAAATGAATACAGCTGGAACTAATTTACAAAAATGCCTGGAGATACCTCCATTAAGTTCTACCTTTTTATCGTGGAATTCAATCAAAAGACTAGTTTCCGTGACTGAAAATGTTCGATTATTGGGAGCGCAACAAACATCCAAAAAAGTGTTATTTCGCTGATCAGCTAAAATTGCTGAACGACCCTGGAAATAACTTAGATACACTTTGAGTCTTAAAAATCTAACTCTAAAATTAGAATGTATGTGAAAAAAAGTGAAATACGAAGTGCAAAGCAAACAGCCATAACAAAACTGAAAGTCTAGATCTCCATTTGACTTCAATAGGACTGAGTCAAAACCCCACTTGTTACTTGATTTTTATACCTGCAAAGGTACACTCTTCGAACTCTCTGATTTCCTTGCAACATGCCAAAATTTGACGTGTCTGACTCCTACCGTCACACACCCACCTTGTTCTGTAATGTCAATTGAATTAACCTGAAAAAATTACTTTTAATACCTTTCCAGCATTATCTATATCTAACTGACAACTTCGTCAAGTTCACTACTCACTATATTTATTAAACAATTTGATTAAACCAGATAGCTTAACAAGCTTAACAAACCGAAGTCTATGCATGAATGCCAGCGTAATAAATTTTGTAAATGATAATACGTACAAAATGAAGAACATTAAATTATAAAAAAAAATACTTACTTTTGAAGTTAAACGATTTTCAGCAATTTTTTGTTGTACTCGCCAATCCCAAACCACGATAGAACGATCATGTTGATTTCCTACTGACACCAAGTATCCATTAGGTGTAAAGCGCTTAAAATTGATTGATTACAAAAATATTTCTAAAACTTGAATATATCTTAGAAAATTAGCTTTTAACTAACAACTAGAAATTCCCTGACTAAACACTTACAAAATTCCCAAAATTTTTGGCATAAACTGCCACTGAAAACTTACCACACAACTGATCCCTAGTTGATGATGTTTTATGTCAACAATCTGGGTGAAAGCGAATTGACCTTTTGCATCGTAAAGCTCCCAAACTCGTAATCGAGGCTCATGTCCAGTCTAAAAATTAATTTTAATAAATATGATAAGAAACTACTGCTGCATTACTATTTCAATTTAAATTAAAAAAGCTTTCTTTTTTTTTCTCGTCTCGAAATCTCATTTTTTTCATAAATTAAATATGATAAGATCTAAGAATACCTCTCCAGTAGCGATGTATCGCCCGCAGAGAGAGAACGATAAGCATGTTATGCTGTTTTTCGTTGTACCAATTAAATGGGCTTGGGCGTTATTTCTTGGATTGTAAAGAATGACAGTAGCCCTGGAATGAGAGACAAAATTACATATTTGAACGGTATTTCAGTATCTTAATTTTACTTATGTAGTGTTTCGATATCCAGATTTTATTTGCAAAAATCCTACTTTCCGTATCATCCTGATTTCATTTAATTTTTATCTTAAGTGTAAACAACTTTTCATCAAAAATTTTTGCCCTTGTAACAACGGAAAAAACAGATAGAAAATGCCACGGAAATGCTAAAAAAATCCATAAACCAGATACATAAAGATGATATATTACAATGCTATGTGGCTAATTATGTTCGATAAGAATTAGTTTAAATGGCACAGAACAACTTTTTTTACTAATAGAAAGCCTCAAAAGTTTACCCAGCCGGATAGGCTACAATGCCTTTGTTGTCGTCCACCGATACTGACGACCGTGAAATAGCTGTGCAACCTAATACCCGTTCCAATTTTGCCTGAAAAAAGACGACTAGATACATATAGATATTTCAAACTTTATTAAAAAAAACTAATTTCATTAAACTGACATTCTTGTCCTATGATTAACAGTGTATATATTTTATTCATTATTTTCTAGTAAAACAGTAAATGGATAACAAGTAAATACGTATATAAAAAAAAAATAAGCGAACAGTAATAAAAAAAAAACGAACCAAAGTTAAATTTAGTAAAATTTACCCATAACATACACCTTATCAGAATGATAAATACAAAACCAAATAAAATAATTTACCATGCTCATATGCGATGCTGATGCAGAAAAGATATACAAACAAACAGAAACTCAGTTTCCCGCTTCAAATAATGACAGCCATAGAAAGAAGTATGAGGAAATGATCGTAAAAATCAAAGAGAACGGCGATGAAAAATATGAATAAATATAGTCGATTATCGTTCAGACATCGATATGATAAAGAAACCGAAAATTCGGAAACTTACATAACAATTAAATAAAATTGTAGATGAAAGCCCCTGTATAAAAACATGCAAATTATATAAATATATTGTAAAAATACGCAAAGTACGCAAATACGTCAGTGAATTACCATATATATCACGTCAAACATATTTCTCAAAGTAATGTTAAAGTCTCATGAAAATAACATATCGCCTTGAAATCCTAGAGAAGAAAATTTCATAACACAAACTACCAAAAGAAGTTCCACTTGAATCTTTCGCAGAATAAAATGATAAATGCAGAAGCATTCCTATTACCAGATAATTAATGATAAAATATCAGAAAATGAAATGATTAGCTAAAATTGAAATTTAACATACAAGAGAGAAAAAGAGAGAGAGAGAGTTATTTCAAATGATAATGAAAAAATGTCAGCGGAAATTAGCCCAACAATTAGGAAACTAAATGTCAAAAATCCGTGAAAATGTATCATTTTGCTAATGAAAACCGTTCATCCCAATCCTACAGTCACAAAACAGTAAGCATAAATTCAATGCTAAGTTTGTTCATTCTTAAACGTAAAAGCTCAATTTGTCATCGGAAGAAACGCATTGATATGATGATTCATTCAAGCAAACTAACCTGACACGATTTAGAATACTGAGATGTCACGGAGAAATCACGTAATAGATTGAACTTTTTGTTTTTCTTATCAGCTAAAGCTTAAGAAAGGTAATAAGCCATTAAATGACAGTAATATTGATAATTTAGATAATAGTTACAATATAAGGAATTTTATCAATCTTATCTCTTCCACCTCTGTTAAGCTAAACAACATTTCATATGAAATTATCGGATAATTCGATTTTAGAAATTTCGATTTTTCATTTAACACTTTTATTTTTGACTAATCAATGGGCTAGATTTGTTACTTTTCTTATTTCAAAAAAGAATGTAATGTGTGATAGCAATATGTGTGATATGTGTGATAACAATATGACATATGCTTTAATCATAATTATCTGTCGTGTGATTATTTGATGTATACATGATTGGTGATAAGAGATGAAGAAAATACAAATAATAAATGATATAGAAAAGATAGGCATTCTTAACTTCATAATGGAAATGTAAAATCTTCAATTCATTAATTTTTTTAAACCAAAAATTTTCTCTTTCTATGATTTCTTTGTTCGTTACCTGCCCTTTTGATAAATATTTCAAAAAGTACAAAATTTATTAAAGGAAGTGAATAGCGTTAATAGATAGCCTTAATTTGGTTGAATGATTATTTCCACCTTTGTAGGATTTAAAGGTAAATGCATTAAGATAACTCACCGCCTCTTCTCAATCTCCGCCAAATGAAACTTTCTAAAAGCTAATATTATCATCGATCATATTTTTAATGTTTAATTTACAGCTCAATAATATTTCAGTAATCTCTGCTAAAAAAAATATTCCATCAATATTAGCTATAAAAATGGAATATCACTCTGTCGTGGATAAACAGATAGAGGGATTAATTCAAGATATTCATTGATAAAATTGATATAAAATATATCATTTGGCTAATGGAACTAGTTATTGATATACGATATATCAAACATGATCACTTTATTTCGAGATGAAATCGATGAATGTTATGGCAAAATAGAAGTTATTGAAATTTCAATCAACTGTATGTATAAGACATCTACGGTGACAATTTATTTGTAATTGACAGCGGAACAAGTTCTATCATTTAATCTAATGGAAAGCAGAAAAGGGAACGAATACTAAAAGAAAGTACAATTTTTTTTCCACGTCCTATGAAACTTCATCTTTTTTCGTTATCATAAAATATGGCTAAATTAGAATTTTTTAAATGTAGTAGAAAGTTAAATTTTAAGTTGAAAATTTCATTCATAATTAATAAATTAAATGTTTTAAAATAGTCGGAATTTGAAGCATAAAAAGTAATCCGGTTAATCCGGTAATCCGGCCAGTATTTTACTAACTATATATTATTATTATTCCTATGAATATGAAAGAAACAAAAAGGATTGCATTAATTTCACAATTCTTCAAATGCTCACAACAATCTTAATGATTTGCAAAAGATAGCAAACATTCAAAAAATGCAAAGAAGAATTTTTGAAAAGTTTAATTGATTTTCGATTACTTATATTTACCTTTATTTGAGCAGCGTTAACCTTAACAATTACACCTGTAAAACCAGTTAATATTAAATCAACTTCAATTTAATTTGATGACTGAATTTCTTTCATTAGGTTGTGGTAGTTTCTTGACAGACAATAAATTTTTCATTTTCTCTTTTTTTTTTAATTAGCGAATAACATGAAAGAAAAAACAATGGAATTTTATTTCAAATTCTTTTTCTTGAATTTTAGTTCTTTCTGTCACTAATATTAATTTCTTTTTAATTATTCTACTTCAGATATTTTTGAAATGAAAAAAGCAAATTAAGCTTTTCTCATAAAATGCTATGCTAAAGCAAAAATATTAGACGTCGCAACAATCAAATAAAGAATGGATTTGATATGTGCCAATAAAAATTTTGTGGAAAACTCGTTTTTGATGCATTTTTGGGCGCAAAAAGTATTATTATGGTGAATGGATGATTTCGCCTGGAAATAATTATGAAAGGAATGAAAATTCTACACACTTTTTTTCCCCTATCTTCTCTTTCAATAATAATAATAAATTTCAAAAAAAGACAATATGAAATTCTGGAATCTGAATTTTGAATTCTGAAACAAAAAAAAAATGAATTATAAAAGGAAATTTGTAAGTCATTTAAAAAAAGACAATATGAAATTTTGGAATCTGAATTTTGAATTCTGAAACGAAAAGAAAATATTCTGAAACAAACCTGAAAGGAAATTTGTAAATCATTTAAAAAAAAACACAACATGAAATTCTGGAATCTGAATTTCTGGAAGGAAAAGAAAATATTCTGAAAGAAAGGAATTTTGTAAGTCTTCTTATTCAAATTATTCTTGCAAATGGAAATGTAATTATTTGAAAACAATTATGAATCAGAGAGAGTTTTAATTTTGTGCGATGAAATTTGGAATATTTTAAAGGTATGAAAAATTGAAATATGTTGAATCAAATTGATTACAATTATCTTTCTCATATTGTTTGTTTATTTAAGTAAACAAAAATTATGTGAATGAGAATTTCCCAAGATAAATTCTATTCATTTCAAATTTTAAGGGTTTGTTTACTTCGGTAGAATTTTCGCATTTACCGAATAGTTTGTAAGATATGAATCGATGAAAGTTATCTCAACAAAATGGGAAATAATTGATGAATGAAATTACAATTATATGCTATAAGAGGAATGGATCGAATTATATGAAAATGATAAACACATTTAAAAATTTATGCCAAAGTGTAAACACACTTAAAAGTTTATTTATTTGAAAGATATCATCCATTCAAAAGCATTTGATAAATTATTCATAAATTATTGAAGTGATGCTATTAATGACAATTGTAATTTTATGTGATTATACGTGAATGTCACGTTGGTTTACGCTGAATCATTTATTTGTTTATCGAAATTTATTTTCTCATATAATAAGCTATGATGATAGATGAACATGTGATTCAGATGAATATGTGATGAGTATGTGATTCAGATGAATATGTGATGAATATGTGATTCAGATGAATATGTGATGAATATGTGATTCAGATGAATATGCGATGAATATGTGATTCAGATGAATATGCGATGAATATGTGATTCAGATGAATATGTGATGAATATGTGATTCAGATGAATATTAATTCATCTGTCATCTTAGCTTATTATATAAGAAAATATATTTTTGATAAAACAATAATAATTCGAAAATAAATTCAATTGAAAATTTAATTTAAAGAATTTATATTTTTTTAGTACTAAATTGTTGAATGAAAATTTTTTTTGAAGAACATAAAAATCATAAAATTTCCACTTTAAAAGAAGAGATCGGTGAAGAAACTAATTTCTTCGCTAATATCATTCAACAATTTTTCTCTTTTCACTTAACAAAACAAGAAGAAATAATTGAATTTATAAATTGATAACTTTTGAAATATTAATGATGCAATAGTAAAATCTATTAGTAATAATTGGAATTTGTCAAATTTTTTCCGCACGAAACGAAGCATTCATTCACAACCATTAAATTAATGAATATAAAATTCTAATACAGAAGGTATATACTATTAATTAATTAATATAATTCAAAACCAAACAATTTTTGCCTTCTCAATTTTACAATCAAACTATGATAAACTGTTATTCCTACACTTACTATTGAATTATTGTCTAGTAAT